GACAACATATCTAATATATCGTGTCTTAGATCGTGATGGTTGGATTAACTTCTGCAGGTATAGTAAAGTCGCTAAAACGAATCTATGTCGAACCTTTGTTAAATATTTTTGTTGAATTTCAATTATTTTATTATTTTTTAATACTTGAATTCAAAAAGGTGGACTAATTGCATTACTTGACGAATCAGAAGAAGAACTTAAAATTTACGCACTTCAAAAGTTAAATCCTCTTGTTGATCAATTCTGGGCCGAAATTTCTGACGCAGTCTCTAAAATGTAAGGGTCTTCTGAAACCATTTATGGTTTCAAGCGTATACTTATGAGTGTTTTGCATGATAATATATGCTTCACGCTGTTTGTTCTCGTTGATGCATCTTTAATCCGAAGTATGAGTAAACGTAAGAGAAACAATATATTTCATATACTAAATCTCTTTTATTTTAAATTAGTGAAATTCTTTATGAGGATGAATATTTTCCTCAAAGACAATTATCTGCTCTTGTGGCATCTAAAGTGAGTAGTTTGTGGTGTATTTTTCGTGTTTTTATAAATAATTAGACGATATTTTTAAGTTATAAAATTAATTCTAGGTTTATTATCACCTCGGAGAATTTGATGATTCATTGTCGTTTGCATTAGGAGCAGGAGAGTTATTTGACGCGTCTTGTAAATCAGAATACGTTGAGACTATTATATGTAATGTTAAATATTTCTAATCGATATTTTGAAATTTTGAATTAATGACCAAATCAATCAATTGTATCGACATCCGAATATATTGAAACGAAATAGTACACTAAATTAACTTGAACTTTTAGCCAAATGTATAGACAAGTATATTTCTTTACGCGTGAAAAAATATGAAGACCCTACAAGCGATGTCCAAATCGATCCACGTTTACAAGAAGTAGTTGAGCGTATGTTTCAAAGATGTTATGATGATGGTGAATTTGAACAAGTATTTATATGTTATTTTAATGCCTTACATTAATTTTTTTAATTTTTTAATATTGTTGTATTTTCCTATTAATTACTTTTTTGTGGTTACGGTAATTCAGGCAATTGGAATTGCTTTAGAGGCTCGTCGTTCAGATATTATCGAACAAGCAATATCCCGAGGTCCTGCTCCAGAGCTCTTGGCTTACGTATTGGAAGTGAGCATGACATTAGTATTGAATTTAGATTTTAGGAATGAGGTATTATCAATACATAATTATAACCCATTTTTCAGATTTCCATGTCATTAGATATAAATAATTAAAAAATTCTTTGATTTTAAGGTTTTACGTTTATTAGTGAAATTATACCAAAATCTTGAGAATCCTGATTATGTTTCTATCAGCCAATGTTTTGTTCATCTAAATAATCCCATTGAGGCAGCTAAGTTGTTAAAAGATCTTATTACAAAAGGAGATGAGGTATTATGATTTGAACATAACAAAATTTTTATAGTAATTCTCTTAGATAATTCAATATGTTTCTTAATAATATAGAATTACTTGTTGATGGCGTATCAAATCGCTTTTGACCTCGAAGATAATGCTACTCAAGAATTTCTCCAAAAAGTTGTTTCAGAATTACCAGCCGCCAATACTAGCATTCATGAAAAATCTGACATTGAGGCAATGGAAACTGATGATCAGGAATATGTAATTATATTACAATGGTCTATCTTTGAATTATTTTTTTTAATCAGAATATAGATACTTTTCTAAAAGAATAATTGAAATTGGTAATTTGTTAGTCTATAAGTCCAACCGATGAGAAATACGTGAAAATTAGACGTATACTTTCAGGGGAGGAGTCAATCAAATTACACCTGGAATTTTTATATCGAAATAATCATACAGATTTGCTCATACTTAAAAATACAAAAGTATTTATTTAATATCCTTTATCTTTGTTTGCTTTTTGGTGTCTTATTAATATTTTTACATTTATAATAGAGTGCACTTGAGTCCCGAAATTCGGTATATCATTCAGCAGTCACGTTCGCAAATGCATTTATGCACGCCGGTACAACAAGCGACGAATTTCTTCGTCAGAATTTGGAGTGGCTCTCACGTGCTACTAATTGGTCCAAATTTAGTGCAACAGCTGCCTTGGGTGTAATACACAAGGTAAATTCGTGAATATTATTATGAACAATAATTTTTATTAAAAAACCATTATAAATTATTTTGGTTGTAATATTTATAATAGGGGCACCTTTCTCAAGGCCTTTCTTTACTACATCCTTATTTGCCCCAAGACGGAGTAAGTGGTAGTTCCTATTCGGAAGGTGGCTCTTTGTTTGCTCTTGGACTAATTCACGCAAATCATGGTGCTGGCGTACTTGATTATTTGAGAAATTCTCTAAAAAATACCCAAACCGAAGTCCTACAACATGGAGCGTGTTTAGGGCTTGCGGCCGCAGGAATGGCAACGGGCAATGATGGTATATATTCTTGTTTGATTAAAATATTTTTGATAAAAACAATAATTATTAACCCAACCTGATAATAATATTTTAATAAGCCATTTATGAGGAACTTAAGGTTGTTCTTTTCAGTGATAGTGCCGTTGCAGGGGAAGCTGCTGGTTTGGCTATGGGACTTGTTATGCTTGGAACTGCTTCCAGAAAAGCTATCGATGAAATGTTGCAGTACGCTCATGATACTCAACACGAAAAAATTATTAGAGGTTTGGCGATTGGAATTTCGCTTATCATGTATGGTAAAGAGGAAGCTGCAGATGTTTTGGTTGAGTTACTCACTCTAGATAAAGTAAGTAAAACTTTTACAACCGCTATTTTACTTTTATCATGTCAGTAATAAAAAAAATTTTTTTCTTAGGATCCAATTTTACGATATGGTGGTATCTATACGGTTGCAATGGCTTATTGCGGCACTGGAAATAACAAAGCCATTCGCCGATTGTTACATGTTGCTGTAAGTGATGTCAATGATGATGTGCGTCGTGCTGCTGTCACGGCACTCGGATTTATTTTATTTAGAACACCAAAACAAGTTCCCCGAATTGTTCAATTATTATCGGAGAGTTATAACCCTAATGTAAGATATGGTGCCACATTAGCATTGGGAATTTCATGTGCTGGAACTGGTTTAATGGTTTGTCTTTTCACTTTCTTTATATCACGACATGTTCAATACTTTCATACTTTATTTGTAAATAAGGTTGTAATCCAATTTAATAGGAAGCAATTGAACTCTTGGAGCCAATGACAAAAGATCCTGTTGATTATGTTCGGCAGGGTGCCTTTATCTCTTTAGCAATGATTTTAATACAACAAAATGATTCTATCAATCCTAAGGTTGGAATTAAATGATTTAATACTCTCGAATTATTATAGTAAAAATACTTATTTACGTTAAATTATCGAAAAGGTATCACCAACCCGTAAATTATATGAAAAAATCATAAATGATAAACATGAAGATGCAATGGCAAAATTTGGGGCGGTTCTTGGCCAAGGAATTATTGATGCAGGTATTTATTTTGATTTCAATCTTATATCATTGCGATTATGAAAAATTTTTTAACATTTATACTTTATTGAAATAGGTGGTCGTAATGTAACGATTTCTCTGCAGTCAAAATCCGGTCATTTAAATATGCCAGCTATTGTAGGAACGGCTGTTTTCACGCAATTTTGGTATTGGTTCCCATTAACTCATTTCTTAAGTTTAGCCTTTACTCCTACTGCTATTATTGGTTTAAATAAAGATTTGAAGGTAATTAAACGTCATTAAATTTATGTAGTTTTATAGATTACATTACTAAATTATTTACGTTTTAAATTGTAAAGATTCCAAAGTTTGAATTTAAATCCAATGCAAAACCATCGCTTTTTGCATATCCTGCCACTACAAAACCACCAACTACAAGTGTCGTAGAAAAGGTATTATTTTTGTCATTTTAGCTTCATTTACAATATCAATATATATTAATACCATTTAATCTGTTTAAAGGTAGCGACTGCTGTACTTTCCACTACTGCGAAAGCGAAGGCAAGGGCCAAAAAATCCGATAAAGATAAAGGAATAGATGTGGATGCTATGGATATGGTATATACACAGTTTTAAAAAAAAATCGTAAACCTAATGTTTTTATGTATTACATGAATAACGTTAAATGATCATACAATAGGATGAAAGAAGGGAAATTGCAGAAAATATCAAAAAGGAGGAAGAAAAGGTTTGACTGGTTTGCGAATTATAATCGATTTCACTTCATGATTTCTTTATTTACAAATTATTATTTTTAGGAGGATAAGAAAGGCAAAAAGAAAAAAGAAGAATCATTCGAAATCCTTGAAAACATGGCACGCGTTTTGCCAGAACAGTTGCAATACATTACATTTAAAGACAAATCACGTTACGTTCCTGTGAAACAAGTATGTCATTGTTATTTAGTAATTATTAATTAATTGTTACCGTCAACTAAAAATTTTTGTAATTTATAGGGTATTGTTGGCGGGATTTTGATGATGATAGATAATTCACCTGACGAATCAGAAGAACTAATTTTACCAAGCGCACCTGTTGGTAAGTTGAATGAATTTCGAAATATAGTTGGTTGAATATGTATTGATTATCTCTTTTTTATAGCAACCGAAGTCTCTGAAGAAGAAGAAGCTTCGCCTCCAGAACCGTTTGAATACCCATTTGATGAATAAATTATCATATTTTCTTTAATAAATTAATAAAAATCAATGTTTAGAGATCAAATTAAAAATATTTGTGTTTAGACAATTATTTAATAGCATTTACCAATGAGTGTTTTATTTCCGCAGCAATGAAGTTGTATCACATGATTTAATCAAAAAATTTTTTCATCTCGTGATGATCCATATAAAAATTCAAAAAGCTTTAATTTTTCTAACCTTCTCTTTTTATCAATCCACCTTTAAAAGAAAAGGTGCGTTTTTATGAAATATGATAATGATGTCGTTTTATCATAATAACAGACTTTTTGTATTTTTTGGGGGCTAGTAATAGATGGCAGGTGGTGTAACTGTAAAGGACGTTAACCCTCATGACTTCGTTAAAGCCTATGCTGCTTATTTGAAGCGTACTGGTAAATTAGAAGTACCAAAATGGGTCGACCTTGTAAAAACTGGACCATATAAAGAATTAGCACCCTATGATCCAGATTGGTTTTATGTCAGAGCTGGTATGTAATTCTTTTTGTTAAAGAACGATGATCCTAAATCTTAATTTAAAAAAAATATATATTTTTTTTTATTTTTCATAATTTGACCTTTAGCCGCTGTTGCAAGGCACGTTTACCTTCGTAATGGAGTCGGAATCGGTGCATTGAAAAAAATCCACGGTGGTCGCAAAAGGAGAGGAACTCGTCCCTCCCATCATTCCAAATCATCTGGATCCGTTGCTCGTAAAGTTCTCCAAGCCTTAGAAAAGATCAATGTTTTGGAGAAAGACCCTAAAAAAGGGTGAGCCTTATTTACTTGTTAATTGATTAAATTAATTTAAGAATGAACTAATTTGAAATAATTTAATAATTTTAATCATTTTAGTGGACGTAGAATCACTCAAGATGGGCGACGTGATCTTGATCGTATAGCTCAAGCATGTCTCACGGTATCAGAAGAAGCTTAAAGAATTTCGTCAATAAAATTATATATTTACACAAAAAATTATGTAGACCAAACTTTTTTATTTTAATGAGCGCGAATATAAATATTATTGCAATATAATCTCAATTTTTCATGAAATAAATACATTTTACAACCACAAATCTAGTTCATATTCCGCAGTAAATTTTGTTTCAATTTTATTGGTCAGCTTTTATCTATTTTACTGATGTATCCCAAATATTATAAATATTAAATTTCATTATTTTTGTTTCTACTCAAAAATGCCACCAAAACCTCCACCTTTCGTTGTAAGTTATGTGTCTTTCAAAAATCTCGAATAAATCAGAATTTATATATATGTGTGTTGTTTTTTTATGGTTTAGGATATAACAAAAGAAAATGTGACTTCCCTCCAGCACGTTATTAAACAAACTTTAAATTGTGCTAGTTTCATAGCTTTGGATACCGAGTTTACTGGTTTAGGCGGAAAAGAAGTTAACACCAGAGCTTCGTAAGTGTTTAAACCTTTTTATCTAGAATGCCTTTTTTTTTTGTTTTGTTTGTATAACTATTAAAATTTTATTAATTTTGGAAGTATTATACTTCTTTAATAATATAGTAATATTGAAGAACGTTATGTTAATTTATGTAAAGTTGTTAAAACACATGCTTTAGTCGCATTTGGTCTTACGGTATTTGAAGAGGCCAAAAGCAATATACAAGGAGGTTCTGAATCCTTGGAAAAGCAATATAACGTGTACAACTTCAATTTTAATTTGTTAAGCCAAGTAAATAATTTAATAATTTTCTGTGATTTATTATATATTATTATATTATTAAACAAATCATTTTCCTTTTAGGTAGATCATATAATAAGTCCGCAAAGCTTACAGTTTTTATCTGATAGTGGATTTGATTTCAACAAACAAATTCGTAAAGGGATCCCATACACTCCAGGATGTGATAAGGTTCTTACATAAACCTTATTTTGAAAGTAATTTAATAAAACTAATAAAAATTATTCGTCTTTTAGTCAAATTCCAATTCCAACGATCCAAATTCTATTATGCGATCTTTATTCTCATACATTATAACCAGAAATGTACCGATTGTTGTGCATAATGGATTCCTCGATTTGATATATCTTTATTATTCCTTTTATGCAGATTTACCTGATAAATTGAATAGTTTTGTAGCAGATTTATCCGAAATGTTTTCAGGAGGTATTGTAGATACAAAATATATCGCAGACTTTGTTACAAGGGAAAAAAGCAGTTTTTTAGCATATTTATTTCGCAAGTAAGTTTGTCTATTTATGGTATTTATTTATATCAAAAAATTATATCATAATTATTAATTATCAATTAACTTTTTAGATATGAAAGGGAGCAAGTTGATAATAAATTTTCTGACAGCAAAGAATATTTATTCTTACGAATTCTGAATTGCGTCAAGAACAATCACAATGACCAGTTTTTGCAATCAAATCATTTCGAAATTTCTAAAATTAATTCTTTGGAGAAACTAACGAGAGAAAAAAGTTATTGTGAACAATATGCTGTAAGGAATAAAAAAAAATTATCTATTTAGATTATTGGTATACCATTTATGCAACTTATTAATATTACGTTAATTATTTAGCTTCATGGATTTTGTAAACTAAGAATGAGATGTGGCAATTCACATGATTTAGACTTTATATTAGATGAACAAGCAAAAGAGGCTGGAAAGAAACGGAAAAAACGTAAATTAAATCAAAGTCAACCTCAAACAACAAGAGAAATTTGCCAATCAACGGAACATGTATCAGCCTCAGAACCACCAACTCTTTTACCTTCAACAAAACCAGATCAATTTGATACATATCATTCGGCACATTTTGATGCTTATATGACAGGATTTATTTTCGCTAGACAAATTTTGAAATATAACAAATCAAAAGTAATGAATGAATATGTGAACAAATTATATCTTATAGGAAAGAATTTACCACTTTTAGTCGAGAAAAGTCAATTCAGCAAAACTAGCGACGGACATAAACAAAAAATGGTTACATTATGAAATCCAGTAGGACTTTCTAGGATTTGAATGATAATAATTCCCAGAAATGATATGCATACATACTGATTCCGTAAATTCTGTAACATTAGTAATCATTTAAATGTTATTATGCTGATCGACACTACATTTACTCTAATCATAATAGTTAGTATCAGTCGAAGTCCTGAAATGACAACGGATTCTGTTAACCTAGAATATTACAATATCAAATTTGTATAAGGTAGTGTATCAAAGTGACCGGGCAACTTAAAAATTAACGGCAAACATTTCTTCTCATCCAACTTTTTTTTTTACTAATAACAATAAGTAAAATCTGTATGTTCAAAATTTTTATGCAACTTGCGTTTTAATTAGAATTTTTAAGTCAATGAACTTCGATTGATTAAACAAAAGTATCCTCGATTTTTTTTTTAAAAAAAAAAATCATAAAATTTTTAAATATTTTGCAATATTATATAATATCAGAAATATTAAATAAATACAATAAGGTTTGCATTAAAATTATTGTTTTATACGAAAACGAAATTTTCCATTTCGGTGTTGTTCAGTGGTTTGGTCCAAGCTGTAGTCATATGTACGGTATATTAAAATGTAAAATAATAATGTGTATTATGATTTAATAAACGTTGTGCTTATAGTGCTATTCCAATTTATCGATTGATCCAAGACTTCTAGTACTATAGAAAGGAAAAGGGTAAGTATTTTACTGATTTTTTTACTTTTTTAAATTTAAAAAAAAAATTATTAACATATCTAGAACTAAGAATATTAAACAGTCCTAAACAGTCCTAAAAAATCCCAATAAATTTGTCAGTTCTAGAGAAGATTTTATTTTACTAGCTTTATATTTTACTTTCTAATGATAATATATTTATTAAAAATATATTTTAATTCATAAAATTTATTATAACAATTTTTTACCAAGAGTTACTAGCAATTAGACTTTTCTATAATATGTAATTTCTAAATTTGTTCACAATCATTTGGATCTGTTTAACATTCTTATCTTTGATTTTAAAATAGATCTTTGTCAAAATTTAAATTTAATACGAGGTTTAGGTTTTAGATATGGGAGGTTTGCTAGGAAAATGGGGCTCTGAGACTAAAAAAATTTTTTGAATAAAATTAAAAAATCAAAATAAACAAAAAACTAGCTTTAAATTTGAGGCAGTCTATTTTTAGGTCATGTGATATATATCATATGATATAAATTATTAGTTAAATACTTTTTAAGATGTAATTTGTTGA